AAAACAGATGTCGTCTGCCTGTTTCCTGCCACATAGCACCTCAGCAGGGAGAAGTATAGGAAACAGTATTGGAACAGACCCATGGCTTGTCTAGTCTGGCATCCTGTCTGCAGTAGCTTCTTCTACTGGATGCTTCATTGGAAAATGAGAAGCCCCTTAAAGGTGAATTGTGACGTGTCCATGTCAGTTCATCTCACAACCACCCCACAGTGTCCCACCATGAGATACAAACAGGAAGCCATGCAATGAAGATGCCTTCAGCTTTCCCTGCTCCCAGTTTGAACCTGGCAATCTTTACTCAGGCAAATAGCAGCAGCAGCCTAGTGTATGACTTACCGTATAAATCTTTTGCACTCATTCTCAAAGCACCATCTGCTTTGCCCAAGCTGCTGCTGCAAAAGGAAAGAAAAGGAGCAAATAAACAATAAATCTCAAAAAAAAATTGATGTGTTTTTTTTTTACTGGATTCATTATGTGATTCATTTGAGCAATACAGATGGTAACCAGTTGATCTGGTCTAGTGCTTGAATGGCAAACGGCAATGGGCTTTTCAAACCAGCTTAATGGCAAACGGCAATGGGCTTTTCACATCAGCTTGCGTTAGTGTGTAAGTGAGGTAGTTATCAAGACCCTGCCTGGTGAGCTGGAGGAGTATCAGTCACTGACACCAATTCTCCAGTGACACCTCTGATTGCAACAAGCTGGGAAGCCTTGCAGGAAGCTCGAATGCCATCATGTTTGCACAGTCTGTTGTTGGAGAGATCTAATTTTTGTGAGGGGAGGGGATCTGACCTACTCCTGTTTGAGGTTTCGCTCACTACAAAGAGTAACCCACTGGCTTTCCCTTCAGACAGGTCAGACCTAGAAAGGGCAGAGGACCCCCTGCCTAAGACAACAGATGTATGGATCTTCCACCACTGACCATCACCCATTTTTCTTTCTTTGTTCTCCCAGCATCCGCTGGTCCCTTCTAGTCTGTAGGGCTTTGTCACAGGCTGGCTTGCCCTTTAAGGCAAGCTGGGCTCAGCCTTGTCTGTGACCAAACAGCTATTCCCCAGAGAACCAGGAGTGGAAGGAAATGTGTTTGTGGTGGCAGGTAGTAATCTATTGCAGTTCTTGGGGATGAGCCATTCAGTCAAACTTTGTCATTCAGGTTCTTACTTTGCAGAGCCAGGCTGGCTGCTGGTAGATCCTTTGAGACTCATGTTGCTGTCAAGACATTAAACTGTAACAGAAACAAAGGAGTTGCAGTTAGCACATTCCGCATTCCACTTGTTTGACCTGATGAAATATTTGCCTGAGTGTGCACCACACTTCACAATCAGACTTCGTTCAGCATCTGGGGCTCCAGCCTCTGATTCTGTGTCCACAGTCAATAGGTGCATCTAAATACTATTATCTGCACACACTAATGTGCTTCCATAACCTCTTTCTCCCCCCCCCCCCCCATCTCTTTGGCTTGCTATATTTCCCTATATAGAACACCTAATGTGTGCACACACACAGACAAAAGTCCTGGATTCAGGTTCCACAGCAGGTTGTAGGCCCATTCCTAACCTAATGCTTTCACTTTGTTCTATGTTATAATGTCATAGAACAACAGGGCGGTATCATTAAAGGCTGCTGCAGTGTTAGAGGTGCGTCATTTAGATGACAGATTAACCCACAGTTCCCTCTGTTCATCTCTGCCCAGGTAGAAGGTAAAGCCTTTTAAAGCCAGTTCCAGTGCCTGAGGCTGTGTATGTGTGAATTGCTGCTGAGCTCACAAGGGCCGCTGCTTTCTCTTTACAATCCCCACACTGCTGATATCTGATGGATCTCTTTGTGCAGGGCTTTAGGATTGCTGGAGAATGGGCTGTGCTCTATAAACCCCACTTGTGCTCTGTTCACTTTAGGGCTGTTTTATGTGCGGTTCATACCTCCCCTGAAACCACTGCACCATGGTCGCAACTTAATGCAACCTCTCTGAAGTCCAGAGTGTTGCGTGGGCGTAAATGAGAGCAGGATTTGGCCCAGGGAGTTGGCAGTTTACCCCCAGGATCCTAGAACAGAAAGCTCTAATGCGGGAGGTGACTGACAGAGGGGTCACCTTGAGAACTGTACCACTTGTGTTGTTTCATAAATTCTGTCAGAAAGCGTAAAGCTGTGAGATCTACCTCCCTTTCTCCTCCTGTTGGTTTCTGAGGTAGCAGCCCCTGCATGCCGCCCCATCAGAAAATCCATTATTGTGGAGGGATGGCAGAGCTTTATACAAGTTCCCATAGAGAAGCTGCGTGGAGTTCTACTGAATCTGGACAAGCCATAAAATGAAATGATTTTTAACTCATGATTGATAACCGTGGAACATCAGGGGAATACACCATTGCACCCAGGAGAACAGCCAAAGAATTTATCCTGCATAATGGTCTAGCAAGAGCCTCAAAGGAAGTCAGAGCCACCTGCCACCTATTAAAACTTGCTGTTCAGGTTGCCAATTCTCCAGGATTGGCCTGGAGTCTCCAGCAATTAAAGATTCATCTTTCATTAAAGATTATGTCGTGTGATGAAACCTCCAGGAATATGTCCAACCAAAATTGGCAACCCTAATTTGCTGTAAGTTCCATGTTCACATGAAGGCTTCATAAAGTCTCATCTGGCCAAGTGTGGGATTCACATGCATGGCCATTGCTGGCATTTCGATGGGAGTGTCACACGTAAATTCCCTGCATTTATCTAGAGTAGAAAGATGCCAATGACTTTCTTAAAGGTCAGGCTGTGACAGCCACTTCAGTAACAGAGTGCAGTTACAGTAGAATGAGTGGCACATGCTAAGGCCCTGATCCAGAACTCACTGAAGTGGGTGGAAGGCTGCCCATCAGAAATCAGGACCCCATTGTGCTAGGTACTGTATACACACACACACACTAATCTCTGCCTGAAAGAGGTTACGGTCTAACTGTGTGATGAGAGGCAACAGGTGGATTCAACAAGCAGACATGGGAGCATGATGTGATAGTGAGATTAATGACTAGTGTACTAAGCAGCAGTCACAGCGTACCAGGTGCCTGGCCACGCTCAGGTATTTGTGGGTGTAACCCACACTAATATGGAGTGGTGCTTTGTCTCCCTCTAGTGGCTAATGAGAGTGCTACCACCGCTCAAACTGCACAAGCTCCTGTAAATCAAGCAGTAGGGGCTCCTGCTTTTTAAATCTAAGGTCCAAGGGTCAGTCCCTGCAGATGGACGGGAGGGCTGGTGTTATATTAGGTTAATTAATACAGATCATAGAGTCACATTCCACCCCGGAAGTGGCTTCACTAGTGGTTGAATGATTCCCTGTATCTATATGGGGAGCATGATCAACTAAGCATGAGCTCCCAAAGTATACCTGGGGCCAAAAATGCTAATGCGATCCTAAAATGCATAAACGGGAATCTCGAGTAGGAGCAGAGAGGTTATTTTCCCTCTGTATTTGACACTGGTGTGAGAGCTGACTATCTCCAGCTCTGGTGCCCACAAATCAAGAAGGATGTTGATAAATCGGAGACAGTTCAGAAAAGAGCCACAAGAATGATTAGAGGATTAAAAAGCATGCCTTACAGTAATAGACTCAAGGAGTTCAATCTATTTAGATTAACAAAGAAGATGAAGGGGTGGCTTGATTACAGTCTATAAATACCTATATGGGGAATAAATATTTAATAATGGGAGCTTCAATCTAGCAGACAGAGGCGATCCAATGGCTAGAAGTTGAAGCTAAACAAATTCAGACTAGATATACAATGTAAATGTTTAACAGTGAGAGTAATTAACCATTGGAACAATTTATCAAGGGTCATGGTGGTTTCTCCATCACTGACAATTGTTAAATTAAGATACACTCTAGGAATCATTTTGGGGAAGGCTTGTGTTACACAGGAGGGCAAACTAGATGATCATAGTGGTCCATTCTGGCCTTGGAATCTATTATTATAATTATTTATATTGTGGTACCAATGCTAGGTAAATTGAGTGAGAGCCCTCCGCCCAATGAGCTTACAGTCTAAAAGAAAACACAAAACAGGAAACACAAAAAGAGCCCACGGGTTTCAGTACTTCCATCCCTTTCATTTAATGCAGCATTATTACTATTATTTGTTAGTAGTATTTAACCCTTGCCTGATTTCCCACCCCCGAACTATTTCATTATGATGAAGTCTCATGTGATTATGCCGCTAATACTTCTCACCAATAGGTCTTGTCTATATGTAACTGAGGGTGTGATGTCTAACTGAGTTAGTTAAATCTGTGCAAAATCTTCTTTTGTGAACACTCTGAATTTGATTTTAAACCTGGCTTATATCAATTAAACTCAATTCCTTATCGACAGATCTGTAGCTGAAAAGCACTATACAAGAGTTAGGGAGTGGTATTACTATTATTAAGCTAAATTGCGATAAAATGAGTTTAAGCGGGTTTTAAATAGATTTACAGTTAAACTGTTTCAACTTTGAATATAGACATGGACCAAAGAAAATGTGTGAGCACTGAGGCCTGTGATCAACCCCCCCCTTCCTTTTGGGTTCTTTCCTCTCTGGGGGGCATCTCCAAAGCCTCCAGTACTGGTGCAGCCTCCAGCGCTCACTCTGGGTTTTGCTTGCTTTCACTGTTTCTTACTCATGCTTTCCTGATGAAAGAATTCCTGAAATCTCTCTTTATCTTCCTGATGGGCGCGGTTGTTTGCTACATATTTCATGGGGCGCTAGGTGTGTGCATTTTAAAAAGAAACAAGAGGCAAATTTAGTAATATATTATTAGAACATTGTGTATCAGGATTGCTTTGTCTCTGCCACTATTTGCTTCTGTTGTTTCCTCCCCAGACCTTCCGTTTCTCATCCCCCACAGTAGGAAATTTGCCTTTGTTTAAATCAATATTTAAAGTAGCAGTAGATGTGATACATCTGGACTTCAGTAAGGCTTTTGACACATGATATTCTTTAAGCAAACTAGGGAAATGAGGTTTAGATGAAATTACTATTAAGTGGGTGCACAACTGGTTGCAAAACTGCACTCAAAAAGTAGTTATCAATGGTTTGCTGTCAAACTGGGGGATATATCTCGTGGTGTCCCACAGGGGTCTGTCTTGGGACCAGTACTATTCAATATTTTCGTTAATAATTTGAAGGATGGGGCTGGGGAGAGTATGATTATAAAATTTGCAGATGCCACCAAGCTGGAAGGGTTTGCAAGCACTTTGAAGGACAGGATTGTAATTCAAAATAATTGTGTTATACTGGAGAATTGGTCAGACATCAACAAGATTAAATTCAATAAAGACAAGTGCAAAGTACTACACTTAGAAAAAATCAAATGCACAAATAAAAAATAGAGAATAAGTGGCTAGGCACCAGTACTGCAGGATCTGGCAGTTAGAGTGGATCACTGAGTCGACAGTGTGATGCTGTTGCTTAAAAGGCAACTGTCATTCTGGGATGTATTAGTGGGAGTGTCATATGTAAGCAGGGGCGGCTCTATGTTTTTTGCCGCCTCAAGCACGGCAGTCAGGCGGCCTTCGGTGGTGCGCCTGCGGGTGGTCCGCGGTCACGTGGATTTGGTGGCGTTTCTGCAGGTGATCTACTGGTCTCGCGGCTTCGGCGTACCCGCCGCTGAATTGTCACCGAAACTGCGGGACCGGTGGACCTCCCGCAAGCACGCCGCTGACTGCCGCCCTCACAGCGACCGGCAGACCGCCCCCACCCCCGCGGCTTACCGCCCCCACCCCCGTGGCTTGCCGCCCCAGGCACGCGCTTGCTGCGCTGGTGCCTGGAGCCGCCCCTGTATATAAGACACGGGAGGTATCCTGCTCTGCTCAGCACTGGTGAGGTCTCAGCTGGAGTACAGTGTCCAGTTTTGGGCACCATGCTTTTAGAAAGATGTGAACAAACTGGAGAGAGCCCAGAGGAGAACAAAAATGATAGAAGATTTAGAAAACATGACTGTCAGGAAAGGTTGAAAGAACTGAGCATGTTTAGTCTTGAGAAAAGAAGACTGAGGGAGACATAACTTCAAATATGTAAAAGGTTGTCATACAGAGGAGAGAGATCAATTGTTCTCTGTGTCTCCTGGCTTAGTTTGCAGCAGTGGAGGTTAGATATTAGGAAAAAAGTTCTAACTATACAGATAGTTAAGCACTGGAATTGGTTCCTACAGAGGCTGCACAATTACTGTCTTGGCAGGTTTTTAAGGACAGGTTAAACAAACACCTGT